TACCTAAGATGGTTTAAGAATGATTCCACAGAAGTGCCGTTTGATACTGGAGTTTACTTTAACAATGAAAATGATGGCAATCTACTTGCCTGCTTGCATCCAGTGCCTTTCAGCTGCCCTCACTTAGAGAATTGTGCACAATTCAAGCTGCCGAGGGTATTGCCCAGAGTCTTTGGAATCCATTTGGATCAGTATAAATTTGTCTCTTAGGACTACACTGTTGCCCCATTCCCCACTCCCATGTCTCTTTCTGGAGCCTTGGGCTTCCATTTTGCATTGTAACTTGACTGAAATGTTTATTTTGAGTGTTCATGGATTTCCACAAGCAAGGTGGACACCCTAAGCAAGGAATTCGATTTGGGTCACCATCTCATATTGACTGGCTGGCATTTGACCTTCGAGTGAGAGATTCCTGGCTCTGAGCCCTCCAACCTTCTCTTAGTGTGTTGACTTTTCACCTGGGTCAGCTCGTAATTCAGCTTACTTACTTAACTACCAGGAGGGAAAGGGGATCAGATACAATGAGATAATTATCTATTTTGGGAGTGCTATGGACTGGATTGCATCCCCCGAAAATCTATACATAGAAGCCCTAACCCCCAGTGTGACTGTGTTTGGAGATAGGGCCAAGCAGGTGATTAAGCTGAAATGAGATCATAAGGGTGGGGCCCTGACCCACTAAGATTAGTGTACTTATAAGAAGAGACACCAGAGAACTCTCTTTCCCTGCCACATAAGACAGAAAGAAGGCAGCTATTTGCAATCGAGGAAGAGAGCCCTTACCTGGAACTGAACTGCCTAGCACTTTGATTTTGGGCTTTCCAGCCTCCAAAACTGTGAGAAAGAACATTTCTATTTAACCCACCTAGTCTACGATATTCTGTTATGCCAATAGACTAATACAGGGAGGGAAATAAGAAATATATTATTTCTAAACTTGGAACTTAGTCATTTGTTGTGATCTATGCTATGCTTACTGCACATGGCATGGTCTAACATGACTGTCCTATGAAATGAACTTTTGATCTGTTATCCTCTGTGACCATTTAATTTAGTTAATCTGTCATGTTTGTATGGAATTCTATAAATGAATACTCAATGACAGGCAGAGCATTTTGTTCACTGAAGATAGAGGCACTTGCAATATAAAAAAATTTGCTGAGCAGAAGTTTTGCAGGTTACCTCTAGAATCCATCAGACATCTATAAACTCTTTCTGCCTATCCAATACATGCAGAGAGAAGACTTTGCCACACAGAGTTCTTTGTGTTCTGAAATGAGATTTATATGATCTTAAACTCAGGAGTTGCAGGTCTTCATCCAATGACTAAATTGAAAGAAGGAGCCAGAGGTAGAGCTGTGATGACATAGAGGCCAGAGGCTCTGAAGTTTGCATTTTGAGGTGTTGCATAGAAACTGAGAATTCTCTGTGACTGGAATGTCAGCCCTACTACACAAATTAAGCTGGAATTTTTTTCTGATAAATAAATCCTGTTTTCCTTGCTTTTAAGTCTCTATGTGCAAAGGAAAAAATTAATATTTCATTTACTCCAAGGTGTATTTTTTTTTTTCAAACTTTCTTAGAAAACAAATGACATCTTTGTGTTACCATCTGATACTGGGCGATCAGTTCATCTTTTGGTGTCTGGAGAAGTATTAATGGCCAGGTGCCATGAGACTGCTATAGCTGCTAGAATGGGAGTGAGAACAGCCCGGTGGAGACCGTGGCTGGGTTCTCAGGGGTGAGTCAATGCTCTGTCCTGTCACGGAGGGACAGGAGTACTGAATTACTTCTCCTACTTTGCTTTGCCCTTGGCTGGCAAAAGCTGTCTTTTCACTATATTTCTGGTATAATTATTTATTCCTTCTGCTTGACAAGATTTGAATTCTTTTATTCTTATTATATATTTGCTTTTCATTATAAATAGCTTCCAATTCTTTCAAGGGGTGTCAATGAATCTAGCCATCACTAACATTTATTACAAGCACACTACGTGCCAAGTGTTGATGTCTGCCACAGTCCTATGAGGCAGGGAGTAGTTTACAGATGACGGCATGTAGACTTGGAAAGGACATGTAGCTTGCCTAAGGCCCAGAGTTTCTATAAGTGGCAGAGACAGGACTAACATCTGGACTCATCTGTCATCGCAGTTGACAGTACAGTGATGTTAGTGGCAGAGGGTTGCTAGCTGGGACATCTTCAGATATAATGTCCTTGGGTGTTCGTTGTATTTTCAACTCGAAAAAGGGATCAACAACATATCCCTTTGGAAATAAGTCAATTTCCTGGATTCTATCAACTGTGTGTATAAGTACAGAGCAGTGTTAATGCAGCATATTCTGGTACCGTTTTTGGCTGCTCCTTTGAGGGGGTTATTACAAAGAAGAGGTTCAAAGTAATGATTCAAACAAATTCCTTGACCCTTGCTTTATCAGGGCGGAGTTCCATCCAGAGTTAAGACAGGCTCTAGCGTCTGCATTAATGTTACTTCATGGAACACGTCTCGTGCATAGCAAAAGCCCCATCCATTTTCCATTCTAACAGATCCTCCTACAATATATGTTTATAGCTTAAGCTCATATTTACACCAAACCATTGTCTGCATCTAGTTGATCATTCATTTATTGAAGGATTTTGAATGTCTTATGTAGAGAAGCCAGACAGACAATGCTATTTCTTTAGCACATGTGCTTTTGGGGCACAATTCTTCCTGCCTTGACAAATTACAATGATGGTTTTGCCAGATGGAATATGGACTCCCCAAGGAAATGTGAGGACTGCTGAGAACTCTGCAAAGGCAGCAAAACGTGTTCCACTTGGAACAGGAGGTGACAGTCAGAAGTCAAATAGAGGTTGTACCCACAACCATTTACACTTATAAAGCCCCCTTTACAAAGGAGTCCCACGGCACAGTGCGTTGAGACGTTTTAAAATGTCAGTGGTTAAGGACAACAGAGAGCAGCAGCAAACATAACCTTTAGTGTAGCCCAGAGTGCTGACAGAGAGAATAAGAGGTTGCGTGCTTTTTATAGGAAGCATATACTCACCACATTGTCTGAACCACCATTGTTCCAAATGTGAAACTTTTATCTGATACCAGTGGATTTTGGTGTTACTCTGTGATCCTAATTCAGCAAGTATATCTAAGCTTTTTGCTGCATAAAATAAAATTACTACAAAATTGCCACAAGGCAGCACTACTTTGTGGAGACTACAAGCTAGGATTGATAACTTTGTTCTTTTAAAAACAAGACACAGCCTAAATATTCCATATCACACTACAATACACTTTCTAAAATTTAAAAACGCTTTTCTGTTTTGATGCTTTGTCAAATTATTGTCCTTTTGGTTTTTTATTGATATGTAACAGTTGTACATATTTTGGGGGTACATGTGATGTTTTGACATGCGTAAACAATGTATAATGATCAAATCAGAGTAATTGGGAAATTTATTGCCTCAAACATTCATCTTTTTTGACTGGGGGGAGAGAACATTTCAATTCTTCTCTTCTAGCTATTTAAAAAATATATAATAAATTGTTATAATTTCCCTGCTGTACTATTGAATATTAGAACTTTCATGTTACTGTATTTTTAGACTCATTAACCAGCTTCTCTTCCCTCCCGCCTCTTCCCTTCCCAGCGTCAGTATGTATCATTCCACTCTCTACTTCTATGAGATCCACTTTTTTAGCTCCCACATATGAGTGAGAACATGTGATATTTGTCTTTCTGTACCTGGCTTATTTCACTTAACATAATAACCTCCAGTTCCATCCATGTTGTTGCAAATGACAGATCATTTTTTGTTCTTTTAAAATTGTTGTTCTTTTTATCCCAAACTGATAATACTGGTAATTAACAGTTCCCATGTAGGTGTCAATGGGCTTCCTTGCACTGTGCAGGTATAAAGCTTCATCTATCTTTTATAGATGTAAAGATACAGATGTATAGATGTAAAGATCACACAGCTGATGAATGGCAGAGCTTGGATTCAAACCATGTAGTCTGGCCTCACAATCCTGCCCAAACTTCTATATTCCAATTTCCTGCAATACCTCCCATTGGCTAAACCTCACTAGAAGCCAGTGCTTAGAAGCCTAGAGTATTCAGATTGAATTCCTTTTCCATGCAGAGCAGAATTTTGGAGTTTTCAATTACAAAACTTTAGTATTGTAAATTCTGAAATTTCTGATTTGACATCTTTTTGGTTTCCTATAATCAGAAAGTTGTCATTTTCTAAACAATGCAACCCATAAAATGTGGTAATTTACTGAATGAATCTGAACTTTCATTATAGGATACAGATGTCTTTCTTGGATAGTTTTCTAATATCCAAAAGGTTGAGATAAGGAAATAGATGACAAACCAGGTGGTTATCAGACAGCAGTTCTAAGGATGTTATTCATTGCTTCACATTATCAATTCCTTCCAAATTCTGACTCCCTGCCCCACACATTTTTTGTGGTTATGAAAGGTGAATGAAGAACTCAGAGATATTTTAGATGGTTTCATCCTCAGCTCCTAAATTTTATCTTTAGAGGGTTTCCTTTGATTTATCTTCACGATTCATTTTTCAGTCTCCAGAATTATAAAAGTGAATTAATTTTGTCTCTAAATATAAATCAGAACTAATTGACAATAGTTTTCAAATTACTTCGAATTCATTATGAATCTGACTTTTGAAACATGAACAGTCTTTTAATGGATTATAGATCTTCAAATTTTATCATAAAACACATAAAATTTTAGCAATAGGAGAGGTATGCTAAATTATCTATCTCAAGTCCTGACATTCCATGTAATCTTTGTGGGTAAGGACTTAAAATAATAAAAACTCATACTTTCTCTCTTCCTCTCAATTGGCTAGAGGAGTCTGCTTCGGTATGCAGGCGTGCACATTGGCTGGGTCAATGTCGTGCTATAAATTTCCTTTGGATTTGCTTCACTCTGAGGCTCAGGCTGGAAGACTACAGGCTACCTGATGAATATTCTCATGGAAATGGTAGAAGCTCAATAGAGAAAACCCAAATGGGTACAGTCGCATCTCAAGTCTCTACAATGTCATGTCACTATTTGCTTATTCGCCAAAGCAAGTCAAATGACCAAACTCAAAGTCATGGAGTAGGTAAATGATCATTGCTTCCATCAGACCACAGCAGACACGTGGCTGTGTGTTACTAGTGCAGGGAAGTGACACTTGTGACTCATCAATCCATTTCTGCTTACACTAGCTATAGAGGATGATGTTATATACAATTGCTAATAAACCACAAACCTCAAAGAGGTACATATTATTATCATCATCATTTTGCAAAGGAGAACACTGGCACAGAGAGGGAACTTGTAACTTGCTAAAGATCACACAGGTGATAAATGGCAGAGCTTGCATTCAAACCTTGTAGTCCAGCCTCACAGTCCTGCCTAGCCTTCTATATGGGCTTAGCAGCTTGAAGCACCAATTTCTCTCTTTCTAACATGTCTGTTTCTGATATATTAGAAAAAATAAAATGTGATTGACATAATGGTGGCAGATCTCCAAAAAATAATAAAAAAATATGTATTTACTATTAGTGAGAGGAGGAATTACTGTAAAGCAATACGACAATATCACTGCCACACAACAAAAGTTCAGAACCACAAGGAGATAGAGTAGAAGGTAAATGGGGGAGAAAGTTTAGAGTATGATGACATAGCAGATCTAAGAAAATATTAGCTTAAGTCTGGGCTAAGATTCAAAAAAAGGAGTTGTCATAGAATTGATTCAAAGATGTGTTAGGAAAGCAGGCAGGATAAAACAGCGCAACCTACCCCTGATTAAAAGATTGAGATTTACCATAAAAATACCTTAATAAATGGACCGAAGAAACACTGTAAAGCAGAAATACAAGAATTGAAATAACAGATGATGGGAGAATTGAAACAAGACCCTGGCAGAACTTAGGGAATAAAAAGTAGAATAAAAATATCACAGAAAAGAAACAGCAAATTGCACAAAGAAAAACATACACTGCAGTAAGCAAAGATAGAGATTTAAAGGGTGAAACCAAGAACAGTGATCAAAATAAGATGAAAAATTATGAATTTATTTTAAAAGATTAGAGAGAAACTTCCAATATAGTATAAAGCAAAAGTAGTACAGCATATACATAATTGGAGTCTAAAAAGAAAAGCAAGAACAGTAGGGGACATATATTTAAAAATATAATTCAAACATATTTTCAAAAATAAAAGAATATTTATAAATATATTTAACACTTATATCCCATGCTGAGGGAAAGAACATCGGCATGGTCAACACTGAGTTATAACCTAACACAATTATTGGTTTTTAATAAAAATAAAAGAGAAATCTCTGTACAACCAGGTTGCAAGAAGAAAGTATCACCCTGGCTTCAGATTTTTTCACAGTGACACTTGATTCAAGATTTGGGTAGCAGTACAAAATCATAAAGGCTATTATAATGCCTCAGCAACTAAATAATGTAAAATAGAAAGAAGAATGGAATAGAGTAGAATAGAATAAAGTCTGGACATAAAGACAAAATACATAAGAATGTAGGAATTAGGACAAAATGGCCTCACAAACCAGTTGGTAGACAGATTGTTTAACTTAATGTGTTGGGACCACTGAATGATCATCTGGGAGAAAGATGACATTGAATCCATATTTCATATTTCTTGCTAGGATAAATTTTAAATGAATGAATTAAATGTGGAAAATGAAACTATGGAAGTTCTAGAAGAAAACATGGAATAATTTCTTGAAACTAGAATGAAGTGTCTTTCTAATCATCACTCATAATTCAGATGCTATAAAGAACTGATAAACTTGAATAACAATAACCATGTTATGCATGCTATAAAAAGGACATACATAAAGTCAAAAAACAAATGACCAATAGGGAAAACATATTTTCAACTTATGTAATAGACAAAGAGCATATATTTAGAATTCTCATAAATCAAAAGCAAAATATATAGAAGCAGACAGTTGAGAAAAAGCCTTTATCAACATCTGACAAGATGTTTCTGTTGTTGTAAGGAACTAAAAATAAAGCTAAAGTGTTTTGTTTTTTTGTATTCAAGTTATCTGAACACCTAAATTTGACAGTATGTTCTACTGCTGAGACTGAGGATTTGGCCTCTTTATTCATTGCTGGTGAGAGTGTAAATTTGTACAACTGCACAGGGCAGTGATATCATCTTAAAATATCTATAGTTTCAGCCTTCCTTTCTTTAGACTTTATTTTGGCGTGTGTTTTTATTTCATCATAAGCAAGGGTTAGATTTTGTCAAAGCATTTTCAGCCTCTTTCAGTGAGATTGTCATGATTTACTCCCATACTCAGTTAGCAAGTGCATTACATAAATAAAAATGACCTGATTGAACCATTCTTTTTGTATCAGTCAGTAAATTTAAACAATTTGAAATATTTACACATTTAGAAAAACGCTGACAACAAAATGATTACCTACGTGCCTACAGTAAAGATTAAGCACTAATAGATACCAAAATTTTGCCATGTTCTCTTTATTTCATTTTTAAGTTTTAAAAGAAATGAAACAGTAGGTAAAGTTAGAACTCACCTCTGTTTTCTTTCATTTTGCTTTTGCTTGAGAAGGTAGATGTAGCACTCAAATTTTATGAGTAAATCTCTATTTTTTACTCTAAGGTTATTTCTAAATTCATTTTTTCGTATTATATGACCATCTTTTCATATGTTTTTTATGCAGATATACAGACATTCTTTTAAAAGACTATTTAAAAATAACATTGCTTGACAATAGAATATTTCTAAATTAAACTTCTCTCAACGTTGTTAAACTTTCTTCTAAACTTTTTATGAGTTTACACTCTTACCAGCAATGCCCACTGTACTACATTTTCATCAGCATTTGGTGGTGCCATTTTAAATTTTGCTCATGTATTTTTAATTTCCACTCAGGTTTCTTGCTGTGTGAATTGCTTTGTAATATTCCTTGCTAATTTTTCTATAGGTTCTTTGCATTTTTTTTTTTACTGATTTGTAGGTATTATTTATATCATCTATATTCAAATGCTTTGCTTGTTATATTGATCACAAATATCTTTTTTCCTTAATGCCTTTTTTTATGAGTCATCTTTTATAAGTTCAAACTTTTTATGTCAATGAAGTCCTATTTAATGAATTTTTCTTCATTAGATATTATTTCATGTCTTATTTGAGAAATTGTTTACTATCCTAATGCCTTGAAGTTATTCTAAATGTTTCATACCTTTATTTTTATTAAAATCTTTCTTAGTTAAGTGTGTATTTAATAAAAATACAATGCATACTTAGGTATTAATCCTTTTGGAATAAATTTCTGTGTATGGTGTGAGGTAGAGATCAACTTTGTCTTTTTCTCTATGCACAGTCAATTGCCATTGACATTTATTGAATAAATAATGCTTTCTCCACTGATTTGTATTGCCATCTCTGCCATATATTAGAATCTTATTCATATGTTTCCATTATGTGTTTTCTGTACCTGTGGAAAATTTTCTCTATTTCTATACTAATTTCTCTCTGTTTTAATTACTATAATTTTATAGAAGATTTTGATACAAAATAGTCTTCATTTTTTTTCTTGAGAATTGTGCTGAATATTCTTTGCCTTTTATTGTATTATATGAATTTTAGAATCAGTTTATCAATTTTCATGATAAATCTTCTTAAGGCTTTGACTGAGATTAATTTAATTTATAGATTAATCTTGGGAGAATTGGTAGCTTTTATAACATTTATTCTTCCCATTTTTCGCTTTTAACTCATATTTCCTATGTGGACATTCCAGAAAGTCTCACAGCTTTTTTCATGAAGGTCTTTTGCTTCATTTACTCCTAAATGTTTTAGTGTAATTGTTGCTGTAAATATTATCTGTTAGGAAATTATGATGTCTAACTATCAACTGAGGAAAAGAGGAGAACAAAGCATGTCAATAGAGAAGGAAAGGCAGAATTTCACCAGATGAAATCTTTTAAAGTCAGGTTGTAGCAAGGCTATGGCAGCATCTAAATCAGGGGATGGATGCAGAGACACGTTGGCTAGCATATATTTGACTCCAGATTACCAGCCCTAATTAGAGAGCTAATATAACTCACACATATACAGAGGGCAGTTGGTATTTGTCATCTCTATCTGAAGCTTGCTGGTTTGCATGTATGGAGCAATAGCAATAGCTAAATTGAGGAACACACTGGCCAAACTATAAAAGAGTTATATCGGACATTTATAATACAATAGTGGTGGCTCTAATTTTCTAAGATACATCAAGATTGATTTTAATGTATATAACATACATGTGTCTAGGCCTTCAAATCTCAACTGAGCACCTATAAAAAATTATTGCCGTAGTAAGAAGATTTTGGGAAGAGGGGACAGAATTTAGACATTTTACATGTAACATATTTTGTTGTCTCTCAGATGCATAGGAAGCTCAAAGAAACTTTACAAATTTGCCTTCATGTTCCTTTCTTCTCAATTTACAGTAAAATCTCTGTATTTTACTCCATTGACTCAGGCTTTATTGATATTCCCTTTGATGCAAGGTTATTCCACTAGAGCACACCTACAAAATGATGAAACTCTAAGTGTGTTCAAGTAACTGCAGTACAATCAGCCATGAAATAAAATAAATTCTGATAACCAACAATCTAAGCTGACTCACTCATGTATGAGCGCACAACACACACACACACACACACACACACACACACACACACTCTTTCCCATACACGTTCATATCAGTCTTACTTTTAAAAAATACTCATATGCAAATTTTAATATTTCATTATAAGTCACTTTATGAATATTTATAGAAAATATTTGCCAGTTTACCTACTATTTCCTTTTTTTAAAAATATATTTTTAAAAATCCCTGCATTTCCTTTTTGATTACCAATTCCCAGGGGGCCAAAAATCCAGGCTTCTTATTTTACATAAGCCCAAATCATTCCTAATTCATGTTATACTACAAAGTCCATAATC